GGAACACTGGTCTTTAGCGGTATAACTGATACTCTAAAAGTGCTCATACATGTAATTAGCTAAAACCAACACCAAACTCTCACCTTGAAAGGCTCTCAAAATCTATAGCTGGAAACAGTCTGCAAAGAGGAGTTAGAAGTACCCCATCTCTGGAAGTGTTCAAGGCAAACCTGGATTAGGATTTCACCCAGCTGGTCCAGTGAATGTATCCCTGGCTATGGCAGCGGGGGTTGAAACTAGATTACCTTAAAGGTCCCTTCTTACCCAAATCATTCTGTGGTATAATTCTGTGATTGGCATACTCAGACAATTATGTTTTCTGAGCAATCTTCAGGCTATTCAGCCAATATGTTCCAGTGTGTTACTGATATTGGTGACAGCACTTAAATTCCACATTCAGGTCAAGACCTAATGTGCTACACACTGGATGAGTACTATATTGAAATTCTGTGCATTAAAATTATATAGTTTATTTTGTTGCTGCTGAAATAACTATGAAGAAACATGAAAAATATGAAAATTAATATTTAAAGTAGCAGGGAGAAGCAAAGCCAGAGAACTTCATTTAGTAGACACAATCTTTCCCTTTCACCTGAACATCATGTCTCTTAAAAGTTATCACTGGGACAACCTGGAATTATTCACAAGGTGGAAGTCTCTAAGAAATGTACGTTCACAAGCTGTGATCCACAGACAGTGGTCAATTCCTAATAAACAAAACCAAGAAGAGTGAAAACTACATACCATTCTCTTCTTTCTGCAGGTATGGAAACGTCTGTAATCACACAAAAAATGTAAGCGAATAAATGAGGAAGGCCAAGGACTATACAATCCTTATTTGTCCATAATAAGTCTGTGTTTATGAACACATGCTAAGGATATACGCAAGTCCCTGCTTTAAAAGAAAGACCCTAATCTTAAACAAGGAGTAGAAGCAGGTGATCTGTAGGAAGAAGATTGCAAAATAGGGATAGCTGGCTCAAGCCCACATGAATGTATTTAAAATACTAATCACATAATGACACACTGTGATATTGAATCACCAGAAAATAGACCTAGTTAGAGAAAAATGAATGCTTGGCAAAGGTGATAGTTGTGAACATTTCCTGTGGAAACAAGCACCCTGCCAATTGCTACAATCATTAAAATAGACAAGTTTTCCATAGTGACCAGGAGGGCAGTCCAAGAGTTTTGTGACACCTGTATTTCTCAAGTACAGAAAAGCTCCAAGGGAACTATACTTTGAAAAATATTTAGAAAACTAATTCCAACTGACAGTACTGTGAAATGGAAACTTAAAATATGGCTGTTCACCTCCAAACTCGCCTCTGCTCTTCAACTGAAGTCCCAGGCTTCCAGAGGCAGAAATCACAAGAATTCACATAACCTTCATGGAAGAGAACCACAGTGCTAATACAGCTCTAACAACAGCTTCATCTCCATACAACAATAACACTGTCAATGGGATCTGCAAATCTCCTGGCATTGTTTTGGGGGCTTTTTTATCAAAGCCTTTGATCCCTATGTTCTAACTAAAAGGAAAAAAAATGAAAGTCAACATACCTGTTACTGATAATGGGAATTTCACAAATATTGAGCTCTGTTACATCTGTAGCTGCATAAGGGTATGATTCTGCAATCTGACTGCATCTTATCTGTTTCTTCCCCTCTGCCTTTATATTTGAAAAATCAAATCACATTCTGCAAAATATTCCCCATGGGACACATATGAATATTTGATTTAGACTGGAGAGCAGTTAACCACATAATTAGCTACCCTGGAAATCAAAGAATTCAGAAAAATAAGAACTACCAGATTAGATCACATTAGAACACTTCTCTTTCTAAAGGTTGGCAGATGCTACGGAGGGAAGCACAAGAAACCCTCAAGAAAAGTCTCCTCACAGTCTAAGGAGGGGCTAATTCAGATTCTGGATAATGAAGTTTAATATTATCTCCAGCATGTTTCCTATTTTGTCACAATTCTAGATGTTATCACTGCTATTATAATTCCTTGAAATCTTCATCTCAAGAAAAAATTACATGTTTTCTTCAATATTATTTCTTTTTCTATCAGTTATAGTTTGATGACTTTTCAGCTTCTTTTCCTATCTACCTTTTTTCTTATGACCTTTTTTCTTATGAGTAAGAAGAACACCTCTCTACCTGCCTAAGCAACATGTGCCAGGTACTTTCCAATACTTTTGTTTCAACCTCTTTAAGGTAAACAGCTAAAGGCGGAGCTTGAGGCTCTTTCTCCTTGCTCATCAAAGCCTCCAGTAATATTTTTTTTGAGAGCAGATAACCATAATTACCCTAAATTTGCTGAAGGCATCCTAACACACAGGAACTACATTACATTATTCCAGCTCCTAAAATCTGGTTTGCAAGTGCAGTCAAACAGCAGAGGTCTTCCCTGAGCTGTGTGCAGTCCCAAAATCACCAGCCAATATAATGTGAAAGTTGGCAGGTAATTTTAGCATTTTCAGGAAACGTGAGGCTTCTGTTTTGTGACAACTGAATGACATTTATTGACATTTCAGCAAGTCACCTGGCTGGGACAGGTCTCCCTAGAGTAATGTTACAAGTCCTTTCTCATTCTGTCCTGTCCAGACCAGTTTGTGTCTTAAGCACATTTTCACTTCTTCCTCCTATCTTTCCAACGAATTTATAAGAATGTTAAATACTGGAGTTGCTACATAACCTTGAGGCATCCTGGTATGTTTCAAATTGTTCTCCAAGCAAGTTTTGGGGTCATGGTAACACTATCTCAGTTTATCAGTGGTAGTTTCCCTAATGGAATTTTGCTAAAACAAAAACAACGAAATAAGCAAAAGCCTTCTGAATCTCTCAAACAATTTTATACATCCATCCATACAGCTATATATACATAAAGAGTGTAAATGAAGTATGAAAGGAATATACTGCAGTGCAAAAGAGGTAGACCTTACCCTACAGGCAATTTAGCTACAATAAAAAGAATGTCACCAAGAGAGATAGACTACATAAATCTAAATCAGACCATATTATGGACTTCTTTTCTGCAAAGCAGGTCCATTATTAATGCAGTCCATAATTACAATCACAGTGCATCCAATTGTCTACAAGGATGCAAAATAAGATGACAAAAAGTACCCAGGTTGCAATTCAAGCTTAGCGAAAATAATTTGTTTGCAGTACTTCAGCCAAATAAAATTCTATTTACAAATAGAAAATTGCAAAGTTTCTATTTAACTGCAAAGTCACAAGGGAAGTCCATATCCCAAAATTAGATATCAGCCCAACTTTGAAAACAAAGATGTTTCAAAGAGGCTGTGATAAAGCTGTCTTCCCAATTTAGATGATATACCCTATTCAGTCAGCTATTCAGCTGATGCAGAACAACATGGCTCTCCTTAAACCATGCTGTAGAGATGTATCTTTCTTCTATGTGTCCTTCTATGTTCCTAGTAACTCAGATTTTAAACTGGCAACACATTCACATAACCTGTTATTTTCAGACATACATTTATGAAACTCAGACACTTTGTATATTTAGCCCCCACCACTATAACTCAAGTAGGTAATTTTGTTATTCAGATCGAATTAGGAGAGAAAATGTAACTAGAATAGCAGGCTTAGGGCTGCTATTAACTTTTTCAGATGGAGTTATAAATTTCAACAAATAGGTTATAATTGAGGAGCCAGCATGACCTTTATTGTTTCAGAAGGTTCAGCCATAGCAGCTCAGTGTGACTTCAGCTAGACTATTAGTCACTCTGTCAGATAGAACCATTAACATCCAACTCAGTCTGGCATCCACATATGATCTGATCCTTAAAACTGGCCTGAATGAGCTTTACCCTCAAGAACAGCCCAAATCCAGGCACTGGAATTGCTCTTATAGAAATACCATACTCCTAGTGAGTAAAGTAGCAAATATCTGATATTTCTGTATAATTGCAATCAAAGAAAAAATAAAAAAAGGCTCTCACAGAAGAGTATTAGAATATTTATTAGTAAAGTCCTATTTTCAGGCAATCAGGACCAGCTCTCCCTCAGAGAAAAACTGAACAAGTACTGTGTGCCATGCATTCTTGTATCATCCTATTCCATTACTAATCACACTGCCAAACAGATAATCCAGTAGTAAATATTTCAGAACATTTGCACTTAATATGTAGGGAAGTACGACATAAAAACAACCACTTTATCAGAGCTAGTGTTTCCAGTAAAGCAATGATTTCTGTTACAGAAGAATCCTTTTATCAACAAAAACCCCTGTGATATTTCAAACGACCTTAAGACAACCTAAATAATGTTATAACTTCAATTAATTGGTAAACTATTCTAGAACTTTTTAATGCAGACAATTGACATAAACATGATGAAAGATGGACAAAATACACACAAAAAGTACTAGTTCATATATTACAATGACTCGAGGTAATGCTTCCTTTGTAAATCATGTATGTGATGGAAGACAGCTACACTTCTCTTCATATCGTTATCATTTGAAGTTTCTTTCTCAAGTGTATGCATACGGAAGAAACAGCTCCACTCGACATAGGAAAAGACAGATCATTCAGCTCAAGTGCTGCGAAAATTTGACAGAAATTTTCTCCTAAAACAACAGAAACAGACACTGATAATGCTTTACTTGTGAAAATGACAAGTGCATGAGCGTGCAGGGGCTTTTACAGAGCTGTCAACCCACGGTAATCACCGTCGCTAAGTGTGCCTGCAATATGAAGACAAATATTTGACCTATTTTCTTAGCAGAATTTAGCTGTCATCATTCTTAGCACCACTCTCTCGTGAACGAGCCACTGCCAAAGGACTAAGGCAACACGGGCAGAGAATTCTTCGCCGAGAGTGACAGCACTTCCCTGCACGGAGCGAGGTTTGTTCCACGGTAAAGCGATCGGCCCCTCAAACCCACATCCCTCTGACGGTTCCGGGCTGCGCCCGCTCGCTCCGGTCCCGGCCACCCCCCGCGCCGGTCCGTGCCGGGGACTCACGTTTGTAGCTGGCGGCCCAGGGCTGGTAGCCGTAGTAGCCGGTGATGCGGAGGATGCGCTCCTCGATGGAGGTGAGCCCCACGGACGCGCTGGTGAGGTCTTCCACGGAGCGGGACCACTTCAAGTCCTCTTTAATGGCCTCGTCCACCACCAGGTACTTGAGCTGCCGCAGCTGCGGGCTGATGTCGGACAGCCGCCGGGGGCTGACATCGGGGGAGCGCCGCATGCCGCTGCGGGTCGGGAGAGGGGCGTCAGCCCGGGGCCGCGCCGCCACACCGGGCGAAGTTGGCGGCGGGCGGCGGGACCCTCGCCGGCAGGGGAGCCGGCCCGGGCCCGCGGCGCCCACAACTTTCCTCGCCGCCCTCCACCGGAGCGACCCCACGGAGCGGGCGGCGCCGCGGGCCAGGGTGAGGTGAGGTGAGGTGGGGCGGTGTGGGGTGTCCCCGTTCCCCCTGCCCGCCCGCCCGGCCCCACGGGTACTCACAGCGTGGCGGCTTTGCCCCGCGTGGAGCCGTTGGGGAACTCCCGGATCCCCATGGGGAGCAGCAGCGATGGCTGGGGGGCGCCCAGGCTTCCCGGCGGGGCGAGCCGGCGGCTCTCACCGGCCGGGTAAGAAGCGGAAAGGAAGGAAAGGAGCGAGCGGGGGAAGGCGGCGCCCCCGTGGCAGAGGGTCCCCGGGCTGGCGCTGGCCCCGGCGGGAGAGGCAGGCAGGGAGAGAGGCGGGCAGGGATGCAGGGACGGAGACGGGCGGGCCAGCGCTGCCGCCGCCAGCAGGGGGAGCCCCCGGGCCCGCCACTGCCGCCACAAGCGGCCCTCGGGCGGGGCGGGGCGGGGCGGCCTCACCCCCCGGGGCGGCCTCACCCTCCCGGGGCGGCCTTACCCTCCCGGGTGTGTCCGCCCGGCCCAGCGGCGAAGCCGTTACCGCTGTTGGGTGCGGACAAGCTCGGAACGGTGCCGGGGGCGGACAGCCCGAGCAGGGCCGGCTCGGAAGTGGCCGTGGAGCCCATCTGACGAGGGGACCAACCTGGCTACCCGCGTAAGGCCGCCGTCACGCAGCCTTCTACCAACTCACCTTTACTTTTTATTTTTTATTTTCTTTTTTCTTTTTTTTGTTTTGTTTTGTTTTTTGTTAACACCCCACCTAACTTAGAAGGCAAACTTGCAGTTAAGTTTAAATGAACATGTGAGCATAGATGTTATCTTATACAAAGAATTCATTCACGGACAAATAAGATTAAAATCTGATAATAGATTCTTGGGCAAAACTTGGTCGCCTAGAAGTATAGACAGTTGAAGTCAAAGTGTGTTTTGTATATATGTATCCATATATATTTGGAAGGGGGTAAAAATCAAGTAGAAGGAGAAAAGGTTGTTACCTTTCGCGACCTCACTAGCTCAGTTTACTGGGAACATTAAACCACCAAGGTATCAAATGTGGAAGTGAGCTGGATCAGTGAAATGCAACCTTTCACTGTCACTGAAGAGAACATTACAGCATCACTGCACCATTATCAGAAAGGGAAAGTAAAAAAAAATGTCCAGCAGAAGTTAATCAAACTAATTATCATCTTAAATAGACATGTATTGAATAAAGCACTAACTTTATTTTATTTCCACTCCAACCCTTATTTTGAGCCTATGAAGGGGAAAAATGTTTGCCGTTGAGGAAGCGGGTTCCAAAATCCACTAAGATGAACAGCAGTGGTCCAATACTGCAAACCGAGGGTAATAGTGCAGGTGCTTGGCTCTGCCTACCAGTAATGACAGAAACCCTTGCAGAGTGCACAGATCAGAAGGATGCAGAAGGATGATTTTGGTTAAGATGAGGGGATAAAAACACAGTGCTCACTAAATCTAAGGATACTGATCACTGTCTTGATTTAAGTCTCTTTAGGGCATTTAGGGCAGAAATGGTGTTAACACGCAGGAATGGGATTAATCATTTCAGTCAGGCCTCCCAAGGCCATCACTGGAGCAGCATCATTCGGTATGCACGGTTCATGCACTCTCTGGCTTTAAGTGATGGACAAGGATAGGATTTATTCCGAGATTTTCCCATAATACTGCATGTATCTAGTGTAAAATTCCTCTATGTTATAGGTCCAGAAATAAAACATAGTCTCAGAGCCAGCAAAGACTCCAATAATGAAGGAAGCCAAACGTTGTTGACCAGCCAATAGTGACTGACACCTGCTGAGCGCTCACCTGCCTCTTGGAATAGGCTGCTGCAAACTAGCACAGGCTGGTTCAGCCCTGCTAGAAATTTTGTGTTTAGCTGCCCATCTTCTCTAGCACCAGAGAGTAGCTGTGGAAATCAGAGACCCTATTACACACATATCTACTTTGGTATGCCAGAACCATCTTATTCTTCTATCCAATAAAAATTTTTCAGCTGTTTTATTCCTCCCCAGCTGCTGTCATCCCAAGGTGTAAATGAAATGACGGATGGGTGTTTCTCCTCTCACACACAGAAATGACTTTGAACAGCTTGGGTGGCAGCACTGACAAACTTGAAGTGAGCATGCATCTTGCAAGAGAGGAAAAAATGCATAGGAGTGAACATCTTAAAGTTCACTGAAACATTTAATAAAGATGACATTTCAAAATTTTGTAGGACGCAACAGCAACATCTACCAACAGGTACGTCTTAGGATCTTACCAAACCTTGCTGTAAGTGATGTTTCTTCTTTAAAAATAGCAGTTGCTGGAGACATGCAAGTAAAAATTCTCATGTATATAATTTTAGTTATGTTCAAGCATTGTAGCTAAAACTGAAATGTTACAATATGGCACTGGACAATAAATCATAAAGTATGGGATTCCACATGACTTGGAATTTGTAGATTTATGGAGCTGTTTAAGATTTTTAATAAAAGGAGAAGAAAATCTTGCAATAGTCTAGCAATTCCACAAAGTGTAAGGAAAAAAATTTGCTAAGCAGAATATACGTACTCTAGGAACAGTGGGCAAAATGGTATGCAGCATCAAGCTGGAGCCACTATGAATAGCTTTCTGCACCTCTTACTAGTGAGAGTTTATTACTTTAGTAAAACACCTGCAATCATTCAAACACAGAAGGGTTAGGAAACTGTATTTTTTTAAAAGATAGAGCTCTATAGCAAGGGAACAATAAGTAATTATTCTAGAGTGTGGTTACTTATTCTGTCCTGTTGGATACTCCTTTTTATGTTTTTCCAGACAACATGAGATTATATGCTTGACTGACATTCAGCACTTAAAAGGCACAGCCATTAAGATATATTAGCTTTGTTGTCTACAGTGTGATGCCATATCAAAAGAAAATATAATTTCAACTGTATTTATTTTCACCTCCCATCAATACTAGCTTGCCAGAAGATTCTCTGGGATGAAAATTTACATTTTTCAAAATATTACTCATTTCATGAGAAAGGTACATGCATTTTTTTATTTCTCCCAACTCCCACCCCAAGATAAGAGTTTTATATTTAAAAGATTCTCTGACCTACTAGACTAAGATAGCAACAGTGTTTCATCAGGCAACAAAACAATCTACTGCATAAACACCAGCATGAAGTTGATGTGGTCCTTCTTTCCCAGTTCATAAAAATCAGCCTTAGAACCTGAGTCTTTAGAAGACAAATTAGCTCCCTCCTTAAGCAAGGAAAGACCTAAGTGCCCTTCTCACCAATTATTCTGCATTTGATGCATAGTCCTTCTTCTTAGTATTTTTATATTTAGCACTGAAGGTATAAGCCCAAGCCATTAATAAGATGTTCCTGCCTCAGGATATTTGGGTGTTGGACAGAAATACAATACACGTGATAAAAGTCCTATATAATATATGGAAATGCTGAATGGCAAAGCTATTCATTTTCTTCAGCTAGGGTCAAATTTGACATCCACATGAATATAATGCTGCTGCATAAGCCAAATGACTCCATTTCTGTCCATGGAACTAATTGTAGCATGTTCAGATTTGTCAGGAATGCAACTTTGAGCATAACACATTTCACGTACAAAATATTTTCAATCAGCAGCAACAACAAAAAAAAGCAAAAACTGTTTAGTCCATCCTAGTTATTTGCTTGCATTCATGTTTTTAAAATATTTAATACCATCTTGAAATGGTTGAAATAAACCCAGAGAACCAAGAAAAACTGATACAGCAGGCAGAGAATGGTCAAATGAAGACTGAATGAGAAGCAAAACTCAGCCTGACCACCTCTGACAGAATCACCCTTGCTCTCTCAAGTAGAGAAACCAATACTGTGCTTGAGAGAGCAGTCAGATGAATTTAAGACAAGTGGGAGCAAATTTTTTACAAGCTCTCACATTGCTCTGATCCCCCTGCAATGCATGGCAAAACCAAATAAGCATCAGAATTTTTGTCATGACACCTTGCTGAAAGCAACTGGAAAGCTCTGGAAATCACAATCTAGCTGCCTGTTATTGTTAGGAAGGGCCATACACAGTTAGTGTCCCAGTTCCTGGGAGGTATGCTGCTTTAATAGAAAGCTGATTTTAATCTGCTACTTTGAAGTGGTTGAATATAAACTGTTCACTTTCTTTCTTTGACAGGCACAATGGAAAATAGAAGTCCTTTATTTTTGGAATGGAAAATAGACCTATTTTTTGTTTTGATATCCATTGTTAGATGAGAAGTGCATAAAAAAATTAGGACAACTCATCATGTCTTAGTGGCGTATGAGCCCTGCCAGTGCCTCTGCTCCAAGTTCCAATCAAAAACTGAAATGCAAGAGCAGAAAAATAGTAACATTTCCTTCTTCCAGCAAGAGCCCCAAAAGGACTGTAGGAAGTATTAATGAGAGAATACAGTATACAGTACAGACCTCTTCAATGTCCCATATCTTGAGAAATGCCAGAAGCGTCAAACTCAAAGTTCATTGGTAAGCTATATAGCCTTGATATCCCTTCGTGTTCTGCCATTTCACATTATTTGTGCTAGAAATAGCAGGCTGCAAAACCCAGGTTAAGGAAAGGCTAGATACTGGTACTGCAAGTTTTTTGTATTTAGCTGTGCATGACTCCTAGTCACTCCTTGTCCCACAGGTTTGCTGAGAGGCAAGCCAGACAAACAGGGAATGAGGAAGAGGGGGGAAGATATAGGAAAGAGAATTAAGGACTCCAGAAAGAACATGAAAGAAAACTTTTATTGGATTTGTGCTCAGAGAAGGAAGTTGCTTTAGCAAACTAGAGCACAATATTCATGTTATATTCAAAGTTGCTTATCTGGAAGTTGTACTAGCCCCAAGAAAAACTGAATAATTCTCACCCTTCTGATAAACTTATGGGTTGTTTTCTAGTTTTGAAGGTGTTTTTAAAGTTGGATTTTTTCAATGCAAAAAAATGTGTCACTAGCCTTGGACTGCACAGATTTCTCAGCAGGAGAGATTTCTGAAGAGAAAGAAACACTTGGAAACTGATTTGACAGGCAATTTTTACTGTATAAAATTAATGGTAGCTGTTTGAAGCTTCACATGTGTCTGAAACATTTAAAAACCCACAGCTGAATTTTTGATCTGGAAGCATAGAAG